GGTGGAAGCTTGAATCTTTGGGGCTGGGACTGAGGATACAGGGTCAGGTTAGTAGACAGGAACCTGGTATTTTGGGTAGGAAGGAAACTTTGCTGGAACACTGCCTGGCCTCAGATGTGGCCAGGCCTTCCTTAATCTTAAATCAAAGCCTGATTCAGTTCTGGGGAAACTCCTGAATGGGGAGAAGAAGGAAACAGCTTCTGGGCCCATCAGAAGGGATGGTCATGGTTTTCACCAAGTTACATTTGGGATTAATTACCAAAGGCCTCCGTGCCTCCCCCAAGGCCTGGTTGTTTAGTTGGAAAGCACATGTTGCCCCTGTCCAGTGGGAATGAAGAGCTTGAACTGGGAGTTGGGGTTTTGCAGTTTGGCTCTGGGCAAATCCATGCTTCCTCTCTGGAAGATGGGAATAACAATAGTGTCCATCTCATAAGATTAAATGAGTGTCCTGGCACAGAGGGCATAAGTCATAACTGTTATTGGAATAAGGCAATCCTGGCACATCTCAGAGGCAAGGCCCTCGCTGGGGCTGTATTTTCAGGGGAGAAACCAGTCTCTTCCAGACACTGCTGGCAAAGTAAGCTCTCTTCTGCACAGATGCAATCATATCATTATCCTGCATTTTAACCTTCCTTGGCTCCCTGCTGCCTTCTTTAAAGCCTAAATTCTGTAACTTGACCAACAAGGCCCTGCAGGGCCAGGCCCCTGTGGTCTTCCCCATCCTTGCTTGAGCCTGTCATTGCACTCACCACCTCCCCTGGCACACGCACTCGTCTCTGGCCACACTCAACTGTGGTCAGCTCCTACAAAGCCTGGTGTTTCTCTGGCTCTTCTGCTGAATTCTCTACCTCTTCTCCCCCTTTCCAAGCTATTCCTGCATATCCTTCAGGACTCCCTCTGAAAGGCTGCCCCCTCAGTTTGCTGCAGGGTCCTTCCCAGTTCCCCCCAGCACCTCCTGCTTCTTTTTTAGCACTTAGTTCTCTTCCTTGTTACTTGTCTGCCTTCCCCACAAGGCTGTAAGGGGAGCTCGATAAATATCTGTTGAATTAATGAATGAAAAGGGAGCAGTTCTAAGAAAAAAGGTCACACTGTACAGTGGCCAAATGTCCTAACAGGTATCTATCTCAAAATGGTAGGAATTATCGATAATCATGATTTATAGATGAGGAAGCTGAGGCTAAAGTAATCTCACTTTGCCTGACATTCAAATTCTTGAACACCTGTGTGTGAGACATCATGCTGGGCTTTTCACAGACAGTATCTATAGGGACTGCAGGCTAAGACCAAAGGATGTGAGGCCAGTCACTCCAGGTGAAGGCCAACCCTCTGAGACCTTACTTAAGGGCTTAATCTCTTGGACCTCAGTTCTTCACAGGGCTGGTGAAGGGTTAAAGAACATGTGCCCAGCACAGTGTCTAGTACACAGTACAGACTCAGCAAGTTTTTATTGATTCTTATCTTTGTTTTAAAAATGGGAGGCACGGGTCCAGGAAAGATCCCTGAGTTGAGACAACCAGCCAAAGAAGAGTTGGGTCTATATAGCCCTAACTTTTCTTCCCTCATCTCAGGAATTAGTGTCCTTGTGAGAATATAACCCCGTGGATATCCTCAACCCAGTGCTGGCACATGTGAGATGCTCAGCCAGGGTTACTGGGTGGGGAGGCTTGACAGGGGGTTACTGTGGTTGAGGCCTCTAGGGCCAAGTTTTACTCTAAGAGGCAGGAAGTGTCCTTAGGGGTCACCCCAGGTAAGTGTGAGAGTGTGAGAGGTTTTCCCTGGAATTTCAGTCTTCTCCCCCAGATCTGTTAGTAACCAGTTCATCTCCAGCTGCCTTTGGGCCCCCACTTCTCTTCCAGGGGGCTGGGAGGTTGGGGGAGAGGGGTTCCTGCAGGGCAATAATGTCCAGAGGTCAGCTTTGGAAGAAGCCATCTCCCAATCCCTCTTCACACCTTTGCATCTTCATTTAACTGTCTTTTCCATCCTTTGTTTCCCTAGCTCCCAGCATACTGTTGGGAATGCAAGAAATGGTTGCTGAATGAAGCAATGAATTACATTTCATCATTCATCAAGGGCTTGCTTAGTCTCTAACTAAGAGTAAGTGTAGGCTGCTAACACTTACCTTTGCCTTAACAGAATCCTCACAGCTGCCCTGTGCATAGGAAGCCACAGGTGGGGAAACTGAGACTTTAGGCTGTTAAGTGGCTTGTTCAAGGCAATACAGTGGCATCTCCTAGGCCCTCAGGATGGGAGGAAATTTCATGAATCGGGGCAACTGGCAGAGGGGTAATTGTCAGTCAGAAATGATTGGCTCAAATTATTAGGTGTGAAGGACCAGTTGGAGCTTCCCCATTGAATTGCCCAGATGGAATTAGTAGGAGTGACTCCTTAGTAGAAGAAAGGGCTGGTCTCTGTAGGGCGGGGCACTGGGGTGTAGACCCAGCTCTTCCCTGGCTGGTCCTAGCACATAGAAAACTGCCAGCCTGACTTTGCACTTGGGAATCTTCAGGATATCTCAGTCTCAACAGAAGGAGCCCCTCCTGAGGTCTCAGCGCTCTCATCACTCCGGTTCCACGGGGTGCTTTCGCTCTAACAAAGTCTACTTGCTCTCTTGGCAGGGCCTGCATCCCAGTACTTACGGTGTGCTAAGGGCTTGTTTACTCGTGTAGCTCCATCACTGAACTGTGGGCCTTGGAGAGCAAAAGGCTAGGGGCATCCCAAGCTCCATGCCTGCTGGGGCCAGTCACCAGGTGAAGGTCAGTGAAGGATTGAGTTTAGCTAGCCCAGCACTGATGCTGCCCAGGGCAACGCCAAAAGTGGCATTTCTCCCATGTGGGGTCAGTGTTAACAGAGGGCCGTGGGTAAACACTCCACTGGGGCAATAACTATGCACATTTACTAAGCCCTGGGAGGAATGGTAGTCACGTGGCCCTCGAGGGCGGCGCCCTCAGCTTTCAGATGGAGTTAACTCCAAATCTAATCACAGAAGGCTTTCTGGAGGAGGCGGGATTTTTATGGCGGTCGATTGTGGCTTTCTCTGAACAGCAGGGATGCGCCTAGCGCCCTGGGAACCTAGTAGCTCCCGAGGTGAGCAGCTTGCTGGGAAGCAGGCCTAGGGGGCGACGAAGTCCGAGCTGGGGGAAGGGCCTGGGTGGCTGGAGTCGCAGGATCAGGCCCACCTTGGGTTCCCTGATCTGCCGTCCGCTGTCTTTGTGAAGTGGATGAGACGCAGCCACGCCAGGTCGGTGCTGCGGGGCCCAGGCGCTGGGTGCAGGCCGCGGTCTCGGGGGCCCGAAAGCAGAGCGCCCCTGGCCGGGAATTGAGCCAGCAAGCTTGGCCCAGCCAGGCCGGGGGTCCGCCTTCCTGGCGCAGTTCCGCCGGGGTCTCGATGCCCGGCCCACAGGGGCGAGGCGCGCGCTCCCCGGGGAGG